GTTTCATCTGCAAGAGCAGCCAGGGCTCTTAACCATAGAGCTATCTTTCCAGGCCCCCCCCCCCCGCCCAGTTTTTGGAGAGAGGGTCTCACTATGTAGCAGTGGCTGGCCTGGAACTCACTATTGTAGACTAGGCTAGTCTTAATCTCACATAGATCCTCTTGCCTCTGCCTCTGCCTCCCAAGTGCTGGAATTAAAGGTGTGTTGTGTGTGTTTGTGTCTGTGCCTGTCTGTCCTCATCCCTCTCCCTGCCCCTCTTACCTGTGTTCTTGTTCCTGGTATCAGTAGAAAGAACTTTCTTTTTCTAACTTCATTGAATTACAACTTACTTGTATGATGTTATGTTCTGAAAAATTAATTTTACCTTGATCTTTTTCAGTTTTTTACACCTAGAAATGCAGTTTGAGGGTTGAGATTTAAAGATGGAGGAGAATTAATTGGGAAAGCAGTACTTTATATATGTAGTATTATATATTGCCTAATGTAGAAACAGTTTAATTCTACAGAGCAGTAGAATATGTTTCATTATATCCTTTTTCTGTGTTCTATAAAAACCCTTCAGATACTCATTTCTCTTCTACTGAGGTTTTGTTGTCACTCAACAGAAGGCTTAGGACATAAACTCATGCCTGCACTTTAGTGCTGTGCTCTCAATAGTCCATTGATGAGTGTTTCGGTTGTGCCTTGTAGCTTCTCTGAGAATACGGTTCCTTCTGTGTGTGTTCATACTACATTGAGATTCTGTCCAGACGTTCCAGTTATAATTCTGAAACTATTTTGATGATTTGTTCCCTAGATTGCTATGCAGAACCAAATCAACACAAACCCAGAGAGTCCCGACACTGTGACAATTCATGCTGCGACACCACAGTTTATCATTGGACCTGGAGGGGTGGTGAACCTAACAGGTCTGGTATCTTCAGAAAATTCATCCAAGGCAACAGGTATTGAGATGCATATAGGACAGATGTTAGGATGTTATGCATTAGTAGCTATTCATCCTTTTAAGAAGGACTGTTGGAGAATGAGGGTAAGATAAATCGGCCACCTTGGTTTCTTTGTAATTAAAAAAAAACATTTTTCTGAGGCAAACAAATCTAAAGAAAGGTGTACTGCAGTGTTACCTTTCAGAACTGATGCTGTCCACGTAAGACTTGAATAAAAAAGAGAATATGAGAAGTGTGCAGTGGGTTAAGCCCCTTAAAAATTTAAATGTTTTCTTCTCTTGTAGATGAAACGGGAGTATCTGCTGTTCAGTTTGGAAACTCCTCTACGTCAGTATTAGCCACGTTAGCTGCCTTAGCTGAAGCATCTGCTCCCTTGTCCAGTTCTTCAGAAACTCCAGGTCAGAAAAACAAGTCAAATTTGCACATTTAATGTTTCACAGTCCGGATCTTTTTATAGTTTAGTTTGTCAAGATTTTATCCTTCTGGTCAGAACTTTTTGAATTCTGTTGAAAGGCTGGACATAGTGGCACATACCTTTAATACCAGTACTGGGGAGTCTCTGTGAGTTCAAGGCCAGCCTGGTCTACATAGGGAGTTCCAGGCCAGCTGGGGCTTACAGGGAGACCGTGTCTCAAAAAGACACCCCCTCCCAAATCTATTCATTTTATTAGGGTGTTTATTTTTTTCAGGAGTTCCCCCCCGCATGTTTAGTTCTGTGGTTCACCTGGAATTGATTGGCTGCATTCCTTGTTATTTTATTATTATTATTATCATCATCTAAAGTTATTATTTCTGATTGTTATTTTTGTATCGGCCACAAGTATGACTCAACATGGCTATTCTTGATCCACTTTATTTGAAAAAAAGGGAGAAAAGTTGCATATGCATTATGTACAAAGGCCAGGAAGGTAACATAAAAGATTAAAGAGGGTAGGAATAAAATTATGCTCAGTGTGAGTGTGAGGTAGGACAGGAGCATCCACTGTTTAGCTCTTGCTGATTATAGTCATGTTTCCAGTCTTGCCAGATCCTGTGTTTTCATGGGAAGCTGGAAAAAAATGTAGGTTTTAAAAGATTAAGCATGGCATGGTTTGCACAGTAAGGTGCTGTCTGGAAAACAAAAGAAAACAAAAGCAAGAAAATATACATAAAAGATGCTAAATTTTGATGGCAGTTAGAAGACAAACTGCTATGGTTTACATAGAACATGAACCTGCTCAATTTGGTTCTTGGTTTTTTTTGCCATTTTGTGACTTTTTGTTTAAATAGAGTAGAGAAATACATGTGAACTTAGGTTTTCATACATTTAATTTTGGCAGTTCTGGTTTGCTTTCCTGTTGCTATGATCAATACCATGACCAAAAGCAACTTGGGGAGGGGAGTGTTTATTTGGTGTACAGGTCATAGTTCATCCTCAAGGGAAGCTAAGGCAGGAACTGAAGCAGATTCCTCATAGGACCGCTGCTTAACTGGCTTGCTTCCTCATGGCTTGCTCAGCTACCTTTCTTTTTATTTTATTTTGTTTTGTTTTATTTTATTTTATTTTATTTTATTTTATTATTTTATTTTATGTGTGCGCATGTATTGCGTACATGTAGGTAAGTGCACCCATGTCGTACAATGCCCGCGGAGGACAAAAGAGGCTGTGGGATCCCCTGGAACTGAGTTAGGACAGTTGTTAGCTGCCATGTGGGTGCTGAGATTTGAACCCTGGTCTTCTGCAAGAACAACCAGTGTTTTTTTAACTGCTGAGCCATCTCTCCAGCCCCATTCAGCTACCTTTCTTAAACAGCCCAGGCCCACCTGTTTATGGATGCCCACAGCAGGCTGGGCCCTGTAATATCAATTAGCAGTTAAGAAAATGCCTCACAGACATGGTCATAGGCCAGTCTGAGCTGAGAAATTCTTCAGTTGAGGTTACTTCTTCCCAAGTGACCCTCGGTTTTCAAGTCAGGTTGACAGCTGAAGCTAACTGTGACACCAGTTTTACATAAGAATGATAGAAAAATCCTGATGCCTGGAACAGTGTGCAGAAACCACTGTAATCCTGATGCCTGGAACAGTGTGCAGAAACCACTGTTAAAAGGGTTAGCTATGGAGGAAGGAGAGGTGCTTCAGGGCTAAGAGCACTTACATGGTGACTCTGTCATCCTCTTTTGGCCTTTGTGGGTACTACATACACATACCCGTAAACATACTGGCATCAAAATACATCTACAAATAAAAATAACTAAATGTTTTTTTTTTTTTTTTTTTTTTTTTAAACGGGGTTAACTGGGTCCTATCTTGGGCTTGTTGGCACGTGCCTTTGATCCTAGCACTTGAGAGGCAGAGGCAGGTGGATCTTTGAGTTCAAGTTCAGCCTGGTCTACATCTCCAGACCCTGTCTTTAAAAATAAAAAGGTTAGCTGTTGCTAAATGGGGATATGTGGAATTGCTAGATACTTGCTTCCAACATGCTATGCTTTGTACTCGCCGAAAATTGGGGTTTTTACTATAATTATTATGTAGGTAAAGTATTTTTCTTTAGGATTTAAAAATAAACAAAAAACCTTTAAGTAGTCAGGGACTGTGGTGCATGCCTGTAATCTTAGCTACTCAAGAGGCTGAGACAAGTAGAGTAGCTCAAGGCCAGCTGTGCTCCATCATAAAATAAAAAAACATGCACAACTCTCAGAAGCCTCAAGAAAATGATTGGTGCTTGTGAAAATAAAGGTTATCTTTTAATTCATTCTCCCCAATTTTGATGATAGTAACAATGGTTCACTGACTGCAGACTCAGAGGTCATTGCTTCTGTGTCAGGAAGAGTTTTAGAAAATACCTTATTTTTATTTTATGTGTGCAGCTGTATTACCTGCATGTGTGTAAGTGCACTCATGTTTCACAGTGCCCATGGAGGTCAGAAGAAGGCATTGGATTCCCTGAAACTGGACTTGCAGACCCTTGTTAGCTGGCATGTGTGGGTGTTGGGAATCGAACCTGGGTCCCCTGCAAGACTAGCCAGTGCTCTTAACTGCTGAGCCATTTCTTCAGTCCTGTATCAGGAAGCTTTAAGGTAGACAGAAATGGATCTCTTTTCACCTAGGAGAGGACAGTTTTATCTGTTTTCTTTTTTTCTTTTCCTTTTCTTTCACTAGTTAGTGATAATGAACATTTATGTGTACATGTTTAAGTGTCTTAGTCTTAAGATTTTTCTGATAACTCCTGTGACTAGTTTTATTGTGTTGATATGCTCTTTTAAACTTAGGCTTGGATCTCTTTAGCACCTTTACATTTGTGGAAACCATCAAAAAAAAAAAAAAAAAAGATTTCAGGACTGTGGAAGCAGCCCAGTGGTAGAACATGTGCTCACCGTGCTTGAGCCGCTGGGTTTGATTTCCATCACCGACAGAAAAGAGGAGAAAACTTTCTCGTTAGTTACTTCTATTTAGTTGAATTTGTACACTTCTGTAAATAAATCACATAGACCTGAAAATTAAATCTCATCTTGATAAGCTGGGCATGATGGCGCAGGCCTTTAATCCCAGCACTCGGAGGCAGAGGCAGGCAGATCTCTGTGAGTTTAATACAGCCTGGTCTATATAGTGAGTTCCAGGACAGCTGGGGTTACAGGGAGATCCTGTCTCAAAAAGACCAAAAAAAAAATCTCATCTTGAAAGTCAGATAAAAATTCTGTCATTGAGTTGGGCGTCGTGGCATATACCTCTAGTCCCAGCACTTGGGAGGCAGAGGCAGGTGGATCTCTGTGAGTTAAAGGCCAGCCTGGTCTACATAGTGAGTTCTAGGCCAGCTGGGGCTACAGGGAGACCTGTCTCAAAAAGACCAAAAAAAAGTTTGTCGTTTAGATGTTTTTGCTCCATGAACTGGTTACACTTTTCCAACTTCTTACCTATGAAAATGTTACAGCATAGTTTGAGAGAATTAGTAATTTCAGTTGACTTTAGTGCATGTGACTTATAATATTCCAGGAGGACAATAATTTTTTGTTTTAGTGCTTGTACCATAGTGTGTAGTCTTTGGGGAGATATTCAGAGTTTGAATGAAGTAAAAGTTCAAGTGGGTATGTCACTGAGGTGCGTAATCAAAAAAATACAATCTCATCACTCAGTTGGCGCATGCTCAGCAAAGATAAGTTATTTTGGGGTATAGAGTTTGATGTTGTAAAAATAGCTTTTCATGGGCTGCAGGGATGGCTCTGAGTACTTGCTGTACAGACCTAAGAACCTGAGTTTGAATCCCTAGCTAGACATGGCTGTGCGTGTCTACAGTTCTATCACTGAGGGGTAGAGACTTGTAGATCCTAAGAGCTCACTGGCTAGCACAGCCTAGTGGAAGGAGTGAGCTTCCATTTCAGTAAGAGGCCCTATTTTAAGGCAGTAGGACAGCAGAAGAAAAGACACCTGATAACTTGCTCTGGGCTCTGCTTTGGTTTGCAGACACTTGTACCTATGCACTCACGTGCGCCCCCGCCTCCCAGTAGCTTTTCTTAAAAGTTTTATTTCGTATTCTAACCTGTAGTCTTACAGCTTTTCTTTGCTTAGTTGTGTTCTTTGTGGTTCCATTATATAATATCTTGGTCAGATAGAAATCTTTGATTTATCTGTTTTTATTTAGAGCAACTTCTGATTGCTTTCAGTTGTGTATTTGAAGGTATAAAATGCCTAGCAGGAATAAAATATCTAGTAGGTATTAAAAATTCCCTCCTATTTCTCTAATAATGAACTTTGAATCAGAAAACTTTTGCATATTGTTTTTTGGTCTGCTCCTAGAATAGGGTAATAAAATTTACTTAGTTTTAAGGGCTAAGTTACTGGATCATGTGAGTCCCTTGATTTTGCTTTTCTTTGTTCTTAATTTCAGGTTTGATTATAGCTCTAATACCTTTGAAATGTTACATTTTTCTTTAATAAATGTAGTTTCTATTTTGTTTAAGAAGTTTCTATATGAAATTTTCAGTCTTAGTACTTTTCAAAGACAGTTTCTTACTTCAATTTTATGGCATTGTCATTCAACTTCAAAGGTACTGTGGCTTGTCTTTCTTTATAACAACCTGACTTCTGAATTAGATCAATGAATATTTATGGTAGTATAGTTACTTCTTACTCAGGGAGTGTTTAGATTTTAGGGTATATCTATATCTCTATATATATTTAAATCAACAATCTTCTAAAGTTTTAGGGTTTCTTTTTTCTTAAATGTTTAAACACACATACACTTTTAGATTGTTCTTAAGGTTTGAGAGATATACTTTGTCTTTTATAATTGTTTTCCTTTTAATTTTTTTTATAAATAGTTTACCATCACACAACTTAAAAAGAGCCTTTTAGATGAAAGGTAGTAACTATTATTTTAATGACAGTCATTGCTAATAGTGCAAAGATGAAAGTTCTTGAGTTATGCCTTGATTGTGTGTGCGCTCAGAAATTTCTTACATATGCTGACGCTTTAAAATATTACTACTTGTTAATATTCAGCCAGCGAACGTTTCTTTTTCATATGGATATTTTAAAAAATCAAAGCAATAGTTAATGTGTTGGAAGCTTTAATAGTTGCTCTACTGTATATTGCTATTTTATGCTCAGTATTTAATTTTCTAATTATCTTCCTGAAATTGTTTTAAGTGCTTGATAACAAAACATAATTATAGTTTAAGGCAAACAAAAATAATGAGAGTAATCAAAACAAAAATTTTTATTTTGGGTATTCAAGGTTTGTTTTGTGACTCTGATACCAAATAAGACTATTGCAGGGTGGAAGCCAGGTCAACTGTCCCAAGTCTGTTTTGAAAATCTGGATCCCAGTAGCTCTCTTGCTTGTTCGGAAAAGCAGTCCATGTATTTGCGGCCCACCTATCCTTGGTAAATCTAAGATCACTGTGAGCTGTTTGAACCATTGTTCTGAAACACATTGGATGGTAGCTTAATTTCAGTAGAGAATAGTTTTATTTAATAACATTTTTTGTAAAGTATCTTTGAATACCACATTAAAGAAAGCATGCTATTTAATAGAACTTACAACATTTCTTTTTTCTAAACAAGCTATGTTTAAAATTTTATCATACTTAGATCCCTTCCCGTATCAGCACCCCCACCCCCTACCCTTAACTCCCCACCAAATGTCTATATATATTTTTTTCTTCTGTGGAGTCAGGTTTGTGTTCCGGAATGCCCTTCTCTGAATTCATCCATTGCATCCAGGTCAACAGCCTACTAAAGAGTCTCACCCTTCCTAGCACGTCGTCTTTTTTCTTTTGAGACAAGATCTCACTTTCTATTCCTGGCAGACCTGGAACTTGCTATGTAGACTAGGCTGGGCTTGAACTTGAGATCCACCAGCCTCTGCCTCTGGAGTGCTGGGATTAAAGGTGTGGGTTACCATGCCTGGCTGTGTTTCCTTTTCAAACCTATGGTCAATTTTGGACAATGATCTTGTACACCTTTCTGGTACTCACTGACTTTAATATCTTGTCACACCTGTTTGTTCTTTCTGTCAGACACAAGCACACACACACTTTTATTTTGCCAGATTACCCCAAAGTAGGTTGTATCATGAAACCTCATCAGTAAGTATTTTGTCATGTATTTCCCAAGAACAGGGGCAACCTTTACGTATCTATAGCTCTATTCTGTTTCCTAAACCATCAACGTTAGTTTAACAATATCTTACATATGGTCCATATTTAAACTTCTCCACTTGTTCCCCACCCAGAATAGCCTCCATAGTTGGCTGTTTTTATCAAGGATCCAAAGTTCACACATTGTGTCTGTTTCTCATCACTCATTGTTGTATCTCTCTCTGATTTTTTTTTTTCCTTCAGTGTTGGGGATCAAACCCAGGACCTCATATACAGCAGAGCTTGTATAGGCAAGCAGCTCCACCACTGAACTTCAGCTGCTAATTGTTGTGTCTTTTTAGTATTGTCTGACCTGGAGTATTTCTACTGCCTTCCTTATTTTATTCTTTATGGCACTGAAATCTTTGTGGGATCCAAACCAGTTGCCTTTAGGACCTCTCATATCCAGAATCCACTTCTTTGTTCATTAGGAGTTAGAATTTGAACCCAGGGTCTCATGCATGCTAAGCACTGAACACCTCCCACACTTTTTTTTTTTTTTTTTTTTTTTTGAGGCAGGGTCTCTTTGTAGCACCAACTGACCTGGAACTGGCCATGTAGACCAAGCTGGACTTGATCTCACAGAGGTTCCCCTGCCTCTGTCTCCGGAGTGCTGGGATTAAAGGTCTGTACCACCATACCTGGCTCTTCCTTTGTTCTCAATGGTTATTAGATCCAGGCTAAACACTTTGGAGAGTTATACAATATTTTGTAACCTGTCATTATATCACATCAGGAGACATGTACCAGACTCTCCTGATAATAATCTCTTGATAATAAAATGGTAACTGCTAGCTGCTTACAGGTATATTTCTCACTTCATAGTAACAATCATTGATGTGGTACTTTGAGAACATTTTAATATCCTCTTTCCCTCTAACATTTCACCAGTGCTTTTAGAATCCACTAGTGATGCTTGCTTGAATCACTGTTATGATGATATAACTTAGCCTTTCC